CATCATGGACATCTTTGTCTCTACCCGTTTGATTTTACCTCATTATACCAACAATCCTAGATCATTGAAGACCTTCTATCGGAGCATCCGAAAAATCGACTTATTTATAGTAAGTGCGCCACTTCAATACTACAATTACAGGTTCGTTGAAGGAATTGAGATTAGCGACTCCAGAACGGCTTTGCTTGTCAGATTTCATGAATATGCTTGACGGTTTATACGAAGAAAATGAGCTCAATCGACTCGTTGTTGACGAGGCTCACTGTATATCGGTATTTTATAATCTCCATCTTGCTGAAAACCCATCCCATTACATATGACCTGAAAAGGAATGGGGCCATGACTTTCGCTCGAAATACCGATCTCTTGGGATGTTTCGTAGTAATGGCATTGACTGCCACTGCTACTCCTGAGTATACTTGAATTCATAGTACATCATGATACAGCTCACTGACTGTGACATCAGAGTGCAAAGCGATATCATTCGCAGCTTGTATCTATCTGAGGACCGCCTCCACCGTGCCATCCATCCGTTCAATAGAGACAACCTATTTTACGAGGTGCTAAACGTCTACTAGCATAGGTCATTTGTTAATCTTTCTTCAGGTCCAGTACTTCACGAATCCGGAACCAGTCTCTCAGATGGCTCAAGTATTTGAGTACATTACTACCCTCTACAGGAGAAGGAAGCGACCCTCTTCGGGTGTCATCTACTGTAGGAAGCGCGCCACGTGTGATGAACTTTCCAGATACCTTCGGACAAAAGGCATCAATTCACAACCATATCATCGTGGAATAAGGTATCTTCTAATCTGCTTACATGCACATACCTACTTTGCTGATGCTTGATGCCTTAGTCCACACACCCTCAATAAGACATTACGAGAATGGATGATCGGAGGAACAGGAGAAGGTGGGATCGACGTGGTAAAATTACATACAATGGCACCTGCTCTTCGAAGTCTAATTCAATTTAGGTTGTTGCAACCATCGCCTTTGGGCTCGGGATTGATAAAGCTGACGTCAGGTACATAGTCAACCAATTCTTGTTTCCGTTTCATCCATACACGATCCGTGTCTTTTGAAGATACATCATACATTACGACGTCCCAAAAAGCTTTGAAGGTGAACATTCAAAGTTTAAAAAACACCTTGAGATAACAGTTTCTTCAGGATATTACCAGGAATCAGGTTTGCTTTACATGTCATGGACTACAGCAACTTACTTGCATGCTAAGGACGCGCTGGACGGGATGGATCGGCGAGTCTAGTATTGCGCGGAATATGTGACCGATGCTGATCTTAGACCATCATGCATCAACAGCCATCAAAATGCATACTATATTACTGTAAACGCAACCGTTTCCATCGGCTCAATATACTGACCTTATTTTAAGCACGACAGGATGCTCGTGAGGTCCAAAGGTGGGTCAACAACGCTTCCGAAGCTCGCCTTGATCAAGACGGGCCACCACCGAGTCAAAGAGCGAACCACAGCATTGCTGCGGTGAGGATTCGTATTTGGCATGTTTTTAAGAGTCTGGAACGTCACGTCTCACAAGCTTGGCCCAGTTGTTCGACTTCGCCGAGAACGCGGAGACATGTAGACATGTGGTGCGTTTATTTCGCATTGCTTGCTTTTTTAGAACGTTGCATCAAATTAACTTTGCATTTACATAGTCAATATGCCGTTACTTCGGCGAAGACATAAACGAACAAGATGAAGATGTCCTTCGTCAATATTGTAATAACATGTGTGATGTAAGCTTGCAGGTCTTTATCTCGTCTGGAATGATCTAAAAGGAACAGGTTTGCAAATACCCAGAGAAGACCAGGCGTCGCGTAACGAAACTTTCGACAGAAGTTATTCTGAAGTTCGACATTTCGATGGATGTGGGTCGTCAGAGAGGCGTTCTGAGCTCGACAGTCAAGGGGTGGAGCATGAACGTAAACGTAACTGGCGTTGAAGGCCAGCAGTCCGCATCGAGGGTGAGATCTTATGGCACGACAAAACGTGCTGTATCAGAGAACGATCGAGAAGCTTGGTGTACTGGCGTAAAGAAAGCTAAAGTATCGCAGGTGACAACACTTGGTGAGAACGTAGTCTCGCATGATCCCTTCATGTATTCATTCCTGCTTCAGTTACGAAGGCTCATGCATCAGCTTCTGGTCTGAGCAAACCGTTCAAGACTCCTTTCAAAACTCCGTTCATCGAGAAAGCGACCTCACCACAATTTCCACCTCCAGTCACATTGCCTCGATGCGAAGAGGCTACCGAAACAAGTGGCAAATATCCTGTTAAAAAGGCTGATGACCAGCAGAACACAGTGATAAAGGTCGATGTAGGCCGACGACAGGAGTGCGCTGGAGGTATGTCAATCTCTTGTATGATCTGCTTATTTGACATTTCGTAAACTTGAATAATAGCGACAACCACCGTAAAGGATATTGACATTGTGACTGAACTAGAAGTCTCCTTTTCAGGCAAGATACCTGTAGGTCGAAATATATCCTTCTCGTAGAATTATATTCATAATGGCGATGACAGCTGGATACGCGTTTGACAGCTTTCAACAACATTCGAAGAGCACTTTACAATGTCTTGATGCTTCAGAACGACGAGACTTGGAACGTCCTCGGTGCTGCACACATTGATGTCGAAGCAAAGTAGAGGTTAGGTTCATATCAAACATTTCGTGTACTGACGACTGCCTAGGGGAAACTTGATCTGTAAAGCTGCCAAAGAACTCGAGTTCGGTAGCTGGTCAATGAGCAGTACACAGAATGGATACGCGCAACGTGTGAACGAAACAGTTGCAGTCATTGGCGCAGACGTACGACAACTACTGCTAGTAGAAGCGTCTTCGTGTGCAAATGACGATGACGATGGACAAGCTATCACTGGTCTAATACGGCGACTGTGTCAGAATCATTCCAAGTCCAGATCGGGATGATGACAGCAACCCTGCCTCTAGTATAGCCCTCGTGAGAGCCGACATATATTTGGTGTCCTCTACCTCCACACTCGTCGATTGAAAGTGGGTTCTCCTGAGTCGTGAACTCCGTCTTCTTGGAAACATAGAGTACATTCCTCTTTACACTCCTGATATAATTTTCTATAATACGTACCAAATACTCTTCCCCAACTTCATCTACTTGCCATTGTGATTTTCCTTACAAATAGAGATCCCACACTCTTATGCCTTCTTCATTCTTACCCATTACATCGAGAATCCTTGCACGTCCAGAACCAGCACGCATATTGAATATTGTAGACGATCCCGCGAACGTAGTGCCTGTACATATAACCAGACTATAAATCAATCTGAAGGAGAGTCGCACAAGTACACACCGTTCTCCGTTCCTGTGCGATTGCACACAACAACGATTGTCGTGTGTGGCGGTTTCTCCCCTTGTTCATCGTTGACCTCCTCAACAATCTCTCTCCCTTCCTTGGCCTTCTCATGTTCGTCCGTCGAACTGTTCGAGACGATCGTTTCAGTACTTCCTCGACGCCGCCAATCACGTTCAAACAGAGGGTGGAGTCGTGCCGCCCAGTATCGTAGGGTATGCCAACTCGGTTCGGTACCCTCGGCGTCGATGACCTCGTTGTCCTCTGCTGAGCTGTCATCAGTACTATCCAATGTACCATCCTCAGCGTTCTCATCTCTATCATCATCGAGACTGGGATCCAACCATGCGTTGAGAAGCACGAGCAGATCTGATTTACTCTTGACACAGTAATCTGCGAGTTCACAAGGCCACTCGACAGTTGTCTGGTGACACGAAGGAAATGGGTTGAGATCCATACAAATCCCAATGGTCATTTTGAGTAAGTTAGAGGTTGGTACTTCTCCACTTTCTGTACGCGATATGGAAGGGGGCGTGAGAGAGAACGAGGTGAAACCGGTTCCTAGAAAGACCTAAGGCCTATTGGAGAGTGATAACTGAAGATCCTTACCTGGCTTCGCCCATGTTTTGTCGGTTTCGTACAGGTTTGTCTTCCTGTACCCTCCGACCCATTCTCCTGAAGGACCATATATAATCGCGCTGTTAGCTCCTACGGGAGTGGCCGATAGGGTGTCAACGTCAGAAGTAGTCTCAATATCCATTCCTCCAACTGGGAAGCGTATGGATCTGTCAGCTTGGGATTCAACAAGTCGCTCTTCTTCAGACAGGCGTTCAGGATAGCCGCCGGCGACGTAGCAACCAAGATGGATTGCGACTTCTCGACAGAAAAGTGAACTCGGACCCGTTCTTGGTTCCTCAAGATACGGAGAGATGGTTTCTGCTGATTCGAAGACGTAACCTGATCAATAATTGTATAAGAGAGCTGTTGACAAGAACGGACTTGCAAGGGCGAAAGCTGTACCTCACCAGTAAACGCCATCTCAGGAAAACAGAGAAGATCGATTGACTGTGGTTTTAGCCTAATACATGTTGAACCCAATCTCTTCACAAAAGAGGGGAAAAAACGACGCACCTGGAACAAAGTTCGCGGGCCCTCGCAATATTAGCACTAACCTCGCCAATCTAGAAATGACAAATTTTGGATGAGCAATTGGTTCATCAGCAAAGCTCGATCGGAGGGGTGCAGCCAACCTTGGGCCGTAGCTGAACGACAGCAATCCGAAGAGGAATGGACCGGGGTATCTGAGGAGCGATTTGGGGTAGCGAGACAGTCATTCGTTTCCAAAGTTTTTGGAATGCAAAGGTTCTCGTTATCTTCGTATTGGCGGTTTGTATGATGAGTTGAGATTGAGGTTGGAAGAGTAGGAGCTAATAGGAATCCGTTACTTGAACCAACTTTGTAGACGTGTACTACCACAAACAGGGGTGTTGCAAAATTCTGAGAAGATTGATGATTGCAACACATCGGCCTCACCTTTTTCTGATTGGTATCGAGGACCAGTAGATTCGGCTTTGCTAGAGATTGATTTCGGCTCAAAGGATAAATGTCATTAGTTGCAAGAATAGAACTTCGGCGCTATGCATGACAATCGGGTATGGTGTAACGGCTAACATTGCCGCCTTTCATATTCCAAGTGAGTTACTTGGATCGCGGCAGCTCGGGGTTCGATTCCCCGTACCCGAACTGTATTGTCGTTTCTTTGTGTTTTTTACTTCACAACTCAAGTGTTTCCTTGAGAAGTCCGGGTCCGTTCTGACAGCGTTTTTTCTTCGCTGTGTTTGGATTTCTGTTGCCCACCATGGCCATCCCTCTCCGATGGCAGCAAACTTCAGTCGTGGGTTTTGGTTCTATGTATCTCGTTTGATAGAATCGACTTGTAAACTTACCATATATCATGGTTTTGGAGGTGATTTCAAGCCAGGCACACTACTGTTCCTCCTTCCTTCTCTTACTTTTCCTTCTGGTGGGTTCTGGCAACATATACTACTCTGATCGGTCTTTCCTCTATTTTGTTCAAACCAAAGGCGATCCCAGTTCGATCGTGCACTTGCAAATGGGTGATGAAGAAATATGATGGACAGCTCAAGTTAAAGCGCACGAATTGGCACATTACAAAATTCTATCTTCAAATCGTATGTTTCATTTGTTATCTTCATTTCAAATTTTGTTTATCTATTACTCATACATTACGCTCATGTTATGCACTGAGCTCCATATGTCTTACCAGTACAACTTCATATAAACCGTCTGTATCCTGGAGTCAGAATCACTTCCAATCTCTGCCTCCAGGTCAGCCTTGAGTAATCTCTTATCATTTATATACTAAATCACTTTCGATCTCTGCCTCCAGTTAAATTGTACTTATATTAATCGAATATACTTTGTTCTGCAAATATGCTGCAACAATGTGGCCTACACCGACTCCCACCATGGGTCGCTTAAATGCTGATTTTATTATCTAGTATACTGTGTCTTTGAAGATATTAATACATATCCAGCTAACACACTATCTCTAAAATTATATGAAAAATTTTTTCCATATAGCACATTTCATATATTCTTTTTGATCTCTTTCTTTCACTTCACTTCTTCAAATGAGGTAGCAAATACTCAAACAACTTACATAATAAAGCTGAAAATGAGACCTCATTTCATTGATTTTACCATACTGAACCACAAAATCTATATTTAATAATAAGCATTCTGAATTGCCTATATACAATTCTCAATGTTATATGATCCATACTCAATTTAACAGCAACTTGACCTTTGCCTGAGATATAATCATATATGTTGGACTATAATGAGGCTTTGACCCTGAGGCTTTGACTACCACAGACAATGGGCCAGTGTAATGGCCACCTTAGTATAGACTGAACAATGGACATTGTCTCACTGCACATATAAATTCATACATACTACAGACAGCACTATACACCAACCACATATAAATACTGACTATACTGTAGACTACTACTCACAGTGATCTAATAGGTATAGTGGAATACAGTCTCTTATGATGGACTGAGAACTACTACTCATAGTGATCTATTAGATCTGTGATATATCTGCCAAATTCTAACAATATAATCTGTTCTTATCACTCTTGTAGGCAATCATGGATGCATGCTCAAACCAGATTCTATAGATACACACATACACACATATATATATATATTTAAAATGATGATACCGGTATTTTTCTGATATCAATTTTCTAATAGATGTGGATTATAACACTTATGCTACTTTTCTCCAAATGTACAGTGTGCAAACTTTACATGAAAAGGATGGTTAGAAGAAATGATGAGAGTATTGAATGGATGGTGCAACAATGTTCTAATATGTTCAGGAATCCACATAAAGCATTGTTTGTCAGGAAATATAAGCCAGCCATCTTGATTTAATGTCCCTTGACTGTGAATGAAATTTCTATTAGATGAAATTGCAATGGATGAATCCACATTAGTAGAACTAGTCAACTGCTTTGACTGTGGATTGTTAAGTACCTCCCACACCCTTATAGACTGATCAACTGAGGTAGAAATAATAAACATGTCATTGGGTGAAAATATGACAGATGTGACCCCTTCAGTGTGACCATTTAACTGCTGCAGCTGTATACCAGTGAAAACATCCCACAATCTCACAGTCATATCATCTGAACTGGAAACAACATATTTATTATCATGTGAAAATGCAACAGATGTAACCCAGTCAGTGTGGCCATTCAAATATTGTAGCTGTAAACCAAAAAAAGCATCCCAAACTCTCACAGATTCATCATGCGAGCCAGAAACAATCCATTGGCCATTATATGAAAATGCAATAGATGCAACTACATCAAGGTGACCAATAAAGTGCTGCAGTTGCTCACCTGTAAAGACTTTCCACAATCTTATAGACTTGTCATCTGAGCCAGAAATAACACACTAGTTATCAGGTGAAAATGCAACAGATGTAACTGCATCAGTATGTCCAAATAACTGCTGTATCATTACACCATTGCTGGAGGTATCCCATATTATTATAGACTTGTCCCTTGAGCCAGAAGCAATGCATTTGCCATCAGGTGAGAATGCAACACATGTTATCCACTTGGTGTGGCCATTGAACTGCTGCAACTGTATACCTGTGGAAGTGTTCCAAACCCTCACAGATCTATCAGGAGAACCAGAAGCAACTCTCCCATCAAATGAGAAAGAAACAGATGTGACTGCTCCAGTGTGGCCAATTAATTGTTGCAGTTGTGCACCAGTCAAAGCATTCCATAATCTCACAGAATTATCTTTTGAGCCAGAGACAATACACTTGCCATCAGATGACAATGAGATAGATGTGATTGTATTAAAGTGGTTATCCACTTGGTGTGGCCATTGAACTGCTGCAACTGTATACCTGTGGAAGTGTTCCAAACCCTCACAGATCTATCAGGAGAACCAGAAGCAACTCTCCCATCAAATGAGAAAGAAACAGATGTGACTGCTCCAGTGTGGCCAATTAATTGTTGCAGTTGTGCACCAGTCAAAGCATTCCATAATCTCACAGAATTATCTTTTGAGCCAGAGACAATACACTTGCCATCAGATGACAATGAGATAGATGTGATTGTATTAAAGTGGCCATCTGATTTATGCATCTGTGCAATGACTGAAACATCCCACACCTTTACTGACTTAGTATATGAGCCAGAAACAATATATTTGCCATCAAATGATGAAGCAACAGCTCTACTCCAGCTTGTATATCTATCTGTTGTAATTGTTTACCTGTGAGAAAATCCCATATTCTCAGAGACTTGTCCCATGAAACAGAAACAATGCATTTGTTATTAAGTGAAACTGTAACAAACATAATCCAATTGGTGTGATCATATATTTGCTGTAGCTCTACACCTGCAATGACATCCCATACTCTCACAGAATTATCCCATGAACTAGAAACAAGGAATCTGCCATCAGGTGAAAATGCAACAGATGAAACTACATCAGTGTGACCACTCAAGTGGTGAATCTTTGCACCAGTATAGACATCCCATACTATCACAGACTTATCCCATGAACCAGAAACAATGTACCTTCCATTGGCTGATAATGCAACAGATGGAACCCAATAAGTATGGCCATATAAATGCTGCAACAGAGTACCTGTAGAAGCATTCCAAATCTTCACAGATGTGTCACATGAACCAGAGACAATGTAGCTATCATTGGGTGAAAATGCAACTGTTGTAACTGCATCAGTATGGCCATCAAATTGCTGCTTCTGTGCCCCAGTTGAAACATTCCATAATCTTATAGTTTTGTCATCTGAACCAGAGACAATGTACTTGCCAATGTATGAAAAGGCAACAGATGTAACTGTCTCATCATGTCCATCAAATTGCTGCAGCTGCATACCAGTGAAGGTATCAGACACTATTATGGACTTGTTTAATAAGCCAGAAACAATACATCTACCATTAAATGAAAATGCAACACAAGTAACAGGACTTGCTTGCAAGATGTTCACTAATGACAGTGGATATTTTTTTTCACCTATAATAGATGGAATACAAGGAAAGTTTTGCTTCCATCTTTTTGACAAGGCACTGTCTTGCAACCAAGTTGCTAAAGCTGAAATATATAGATGTGGTGTTGATAAAGCTGCTGCACTTGTAGTAAAATGAGCAGCAAAATTTGCAGCCTCAGTTATATTGTCTATAAGATCTGGATCTTGACTGTTATTCTGTTTTCTAGATTAAGTTGTAATTGAATCAGAGTAATAAGAATTCTAACCTTGATTAAGTGCTCACAAACTTGTTGAAGCATTAAATGACATTGTTTGGATGATTGAAGTAGATTCATAGTTTCTATCCAAAAAAGCACATGGATATTGAAAAAGGTCTTAAGCTGAACTTGAAAAGCCTTATTTTCTTCATAGTGGGCTTTTATCATATGTTGATTCCAGTATTGGCAAGAGTATGTTAAAGCTCCTGAGATTTTTTTTATTAACACAGACATGAAGATTGGGCACTTCTGAATCTTTCAAAAATGATGAAGGTAGGTTACAAATATTAGAACAAAGATGTTTGAACATGATATCAAAGCATTGATAGGTGAGAAAAGCATGATGAGAGGCTGTATCACAAAAAATGTTTGTGGCACAAGTTGGAAAAACAAAGGATGTCAAACTAAATCTAGATGATTGTGCCAAAGTAAGAATGAAGTCTGGAAATGAAGCATGATACCAAAAAACACATTCATTCTTGATGTAAAGGACAGCATGAAGCTTTTAAACAATGCTATTGGCTCTCTCCTCCATATCCTTTAGATTTTCATTACTAGAAGCTAATGCTGCAGCTGTTGATGTAGATATAGGTTCTTCTGCACAAAGAATAGTGTGTAAAATCTTTAAATGAGCTTGAATATGCTCATTATTGAGTCCATAAAATACTTCAGCCAAAATTTGACAATATAAAGTGTTGATATGCACTTTTGCATAATCAAGATCAGGAGAACTTTTATTATTTTCAAAATCAAGTAGTTTTTTCATGAAATCATATTGCTCTCCTTTGGTTGATCCAGTACCAGATGTTATATACTTTACTGCTGTGGATGCAAATATAAAAAGACTCTTTGCTTGTTGCATAAGATTTGTAAGCTCAGGTTCATGCTTTAAATTTGGAAGTGAAGCATGTAAAT